TGGGGAGCACTGTGCTTGGCTTCCCCATCCCCTACTGGAGTGTGATGCAACCCCAGTCCTCCCATCTGTAACAGAGGCTTCATCCACATTTCTTCAGGTCTAGGGTGGCCAAGATCAGTTCTCCTTAGGGTAAGGGTCCCTAGTACATTGTCCACAAGATTCTGTCACAATGGGATCGTCAAACACAGACATATCAGTTAGGCAAGTACAACTGAGAAGAAGCTGGGAGAAAGATTTGCTAGTAAGTCCTGGGTTAAAGTGGAGAAATGGGGTCAATGAATAGGACAATGCCAAGACAAAGGCAGAATTCTCCCTTGTTCTATTCTGGGAATTCTCACTTTCAGGCATGCCAGGCTGGATTTAACTGAGTGATTCAATGTGGCAGTCACCGTGGTCACCCTGTTCCAGACCTCCCGCTGGTGATGCCTGAATGGTTTTCCTCTCTACTGATTAGATCCTGAGCAGGGTGGTACAGTGCAATCCACTACCCAAGAACTTTTTACTTGGTAGGACTCCCAGAAGAACTGAATGCTCAGGGTACACCTCTTGATTTGAAAATAAGTAAACCCTTTGGAGCTGAAGATGATAGACAGAAGGATTGTCATCTTAATCCAGAACCATTCCCTGGAAATCAAAATTGTCCACACGCCTCAGCTTCATTGAGGACAAACCCATGTGATCAAGGTCTATTTTCAGCTTTGGAGTAGAAGGGCTGTGCCTTTCCATGGCTCCAGCTCTCTATTCCCTGCATCCTGGTCTTTGCTGACCCAGAGGAAGATATTCAAGGGACATATTACAAGGACAACTAAGATGGGACAAAAATCCTCCTTTTCCCACCAGAAATACTGCAGCCTAAAGTAATTCTGCTGCTGCTGGGTCCCCAGCCTAGGAGACGAGCACGTAAAGGAGTGTTGTTTCTATTACAGGAATGAGTGGGGAGACATCGTGATGGAGGGTTGCCAGATTTAACAAATAGATAGACAGGGCACGTAGTTATATTTGAATTTTACATAAACAACAAATAATTTCTAAGTTAAGGCATGTCCCAATTATTGTATTTGGTTGTATTTTATCTGGTAACCCGGCCCGGAAACCCATTAATGCTTATAGCCAAGTGAACCCAGCTTAAGTCTAGGAAGGGAAAAACAGAGCCTCTCTCCTGCCTCTTTTGAGCTAGGCTGACTCCCCATGGGGAGAGTAGGCCTGGCTGGAGGGGATGGGAAGGGAGGAAATGAAGGGACTCAGACTCATGAGTGTCTTGCAGATCCCTAAATTTTAGCATTTAGTGTTTAGTTGTAATGTTCAAATATTGAGATTGTGGAAACCCGCAGAATGGCAGTCATAAGAAGAGCAAATGTCTGGGGTAATGAAAACAAACCCCACTAGGTTAGGAGTTAGGAGGTCAGAGATCTAGTCGGCTGTAGCAGTAACCAGCTGTGTTGCCTTCAAGGAGTAATTTCTCCTCTCTGGGCCTGCATTTCCTCAACTGAAAAATGCAAACAGTGTTGGGCTCTAATATTTCACAGGTCTGGTACTGAGAATCAGAACAGCATAACTGAGTATGCAGCTGAGAAATCAGGCAGCAAGGCTAAAACCTGCCCCATCTTTTGCTCCATCTCACCATCTGCTTCCTCTCCCTGAGGTCTGTGGGACTCTGAGGTTCCAACGTTGTCCTTCAGCAGATCCTTCTGCCTGAAGGAGGAGGCGGCTGGCGTGGCCAGCAGAGAGCAGGACATGGACTGGGCCAATGACTTTCTTTTGAGCAGTCTTTTATTTTCCTTAAGCCCCTAGATGCTTTTTGTGTGTCACACTATCTTTGTTCCAAGTTTTATTTTATTATAAGAAAGCCTCTCTACATTCAATTTGTGAAGTGAATAATCATAAATTAAAAATAGTATGATTATTATTTTTTAATTACAAGGCTATTATTGATACAGACTATAAGGTAAAACTATAAGGTAGGACCATTGCTTTTTAAACATTTTTAGAGCCTTCTTTTTGGAATTGCCTACAGACCCTTAACATATTTAAATGAGATATGTACAGGAGGTGACAAAGCTTTGCTATTTGAGGATGGTTTGATATTTAGAACTACAGTCAGATCTGAGGAGTGAGGTGCTCCAAGTGAGTAGTATTGTTTCTGGTCAAACCCAGGTCATGACAATAAATAAATGAGACTGGTTTTCTTATCTGGCTCCTGAAATGATGCTGAAGACAGTTCTGAAATTTTAGGGGTTCTAGAAACATTCTGAGCAATGGCAGTATTGGTGTCATGCTCCAGTACAGAAACTAATGCCTTTATCCTGTTTGTCTGTTGACCTCTGTGCTTCTAACTTGACTGCAAGTTCATTGAGGGCAAAGTCAAATGCTTTTCAACTGTGTTTCTGTAGCGTGCCTCACTCACTGCTGTGCGTCAGCAATTGCTCAATACAAGTTGGCTGACCAAGTGAATATAAAGTATCTGCAGCAAATGATCCTTCATCAGCTCTCAGAAGGTCCTGAAAATATGCTGATGATGCTTGTACAGACAAACTACACCCTCCTCCCCACCCTCCATGCCTTCTGCCACCATATTGGTTTCACCAGAGGGGAGGAATAACATCATCCTGTGCCAGTTGTACCATCCATGGGAAAATCCCACAGACATAGGATTATCTCATGCCACAGATCTCTATTGCCTTTCTCCTGCTCTCCTTCTCCCTATGTCTGGACCCCGTTTGGTTTTGCCCAGGTTTCATCTGATTATATGTCTGGCTCCAGTATCAATTATTCCACTTCCTCCCTACTTGGCCTCCTCCCTCTGCCAAATCTTCATGTGTGCTCAGCTCTTCCCTCTTCCCATAGCCTCTCCTGAACTGAGAGGAGATAGGACGTGCCTCAGCAGCTACCCTGCCATGAGTCATGTCTGCAGTCCTGCCAGCGAAGGAGCAAGGAGGGTTGGGTCTTAGGGTGCGGAAAAGGAAAGAGATTTTCACTGGTTGTCAGAAAATGGGCACAGGGTGGGGTGGGGACAGTCTGGGAGCATTAAAAGCTAGTGAGATGACTGAGGACTGAGTTAATTAACCAGAAGTGAAATGTTCAACATGGGCCAAATGAAGATTCTTTCTTTCTTTCTTTCTTTCTTTCTTTCTTTCTTTCTTTCTTTCTTTCTTTCTTTCTTTCTTTCTTTCTTTCTTTCTTTTTAGAAATACCTTCCCAGATTACACATTTCCATGGTTACATTACTCATTTGATAATACTTCACAGTTAATGTCATCTGATATCAACCCGTGAGTGAAGTAGACACATGAGTATCATCATTCTCTTTTTATGGATGAGAAAACTGAGGTCCAGAAAAATTAAACTATCTAAAGTCATAGAGCCAGAGAGAGGCAGAAGTAGGACTAGAACCTAAGCCTCCTAAGCTCTGATCGGGTAACGTCATTTAAGTAAAGACATGTACCATCTGTACCGTCAGCATAATCATCCATTCTGGCTGCTGGTGCAGTGATCTGCCTTCCTTGGGTTTCATCTAATCCCTTTATGCTGCATTCCTAAGCCATTTTCTCAATTTGGTCATCACCCTTTGTGTCAAAGCCTTTTTATTCACATCTATGCTTGATCTGTCAGCTTACTGGGTTCAGTCTGCTGGGTTTATTTTGCACTAAGAGTGTCATTTGCCATCAAGAATCAGGAAAAAAGTGAGGGAAGTAAATTCGCAGCACACCTAGTTAATTGTCCCCTTTCATCCTCAAGCTGTAATATGTAAGAAAGACATAGCCTCCAAGATTAGCCCCAAAAAGAACTCAGGAATGGAAGAATCAAGCACATGACAAAAGAACACCAAACTCATAAACTCCCCACCCTCTCCTCTCCCCAGGACCCAGGACCTTTGACAATCAATCAGGAGTGATATCTGTGAGATGTCTGTGTCTTAAAGCAAATGCTGCTGAATCCTAAGGCCCCACCAAGACAGAGCCCCAGATTCCCACAGAAAAACAGCCTTTATTCCCCATCTGACAATGTCTTGAAGGCCTTACAAAAGAATTCCCAAGAATAATGCAGGCTAATGTTGCATTAGCGAAAGTAAATGAAAGTCACAGAATCTGGAGGCTAGGAGAAACCTTGGGTGCCATCTAGCCCAATACCCCTGATTTTAGAGCAGCAGAAAATTCCTGCACTGGCTGGTATGGTTGTATCCTGAGCATCTACTGCAGTGCTTGTCACAGAATTAGGTCTTAATAAATATTTGTTCAGTGAATGGATAAATGAAGTATAGTGGATTGAGATCACTTAGAAAGCAGACAGAGTCAGGATTGCAGGATCTAAAATAACCTCTATCCATGTTAATTTAACAAATAATCTTAAGAATTATTATAATCTTTTTTCATGTATATTAGTTCATTTAATCCTGAAAATAACCGCTCGAAGTACTTTGTTATATCCACTTTCCATGTGAAGAAGCTGAGTCCCAAAGTTTGAAGTAACTTGCCCAAAGCCACATGCTCAGTGAGTAGCAGAGTTAAAATCTGAACCCAAATGTGTCTGGGTTGTCAGGCAGGCTCCACTCTAGCATGCAGCGTCATATGCAGGAGTCAATGCAGTGGACATGTTCTCTTGGATCTTTGACCATAAGCATAGAATGAAGAGAGATGACCCTTCAGGATTTTCCTAGAAACGTCTAAACTGGTCCATTAATAGACCTCAAGAATGCAAACATTTCCCAAATCCATGATCAAATCAGACCTACTGAGAAATGGACATTTTTAAAAATGTCTTTTTAAAATGCTTTTCCCAAAATGTTCTCATTTGAGACATTCAAAAATGTCCAATCAGCCCAAACGAGAACCACCTATGAAACAATGGCCAAGTCAACAGACCTAGTCAGAGTTATGAGCCTCAATTCACGGACCAAAGCCTACATCACTCTTTTTAGCAACTGGCGCAGGTTTTCTCCACTATAAACCCCAAACCATCCCCACAAGTACTCCAGGTCTTTTAGGATGGAAGCAGTTCCTTACCGGATATCCCCATGAGCCATTCCCTGCCTGGAACTTGGAGTAGTAGCTGCTCCTGCTGGTGGTCCCATAGTTGTAATTGTCAGCCAGGCCATCATACATGGAACCTAGAGGACAAAGAAGGGGATTAGGACAGGGATGGCCATGATCTTCATCCACCCCTCTTCCTCAGGGCATCATTTCTGCATCCAGGTCCACTATGCCGATGGAGGAGACCAGGTCTGAGCTCCTGGAGGAGAAGGCGGAGAGTGTCATCTCCATCTATCTCCACATCCTCTGCAGCCAGGACCAAGAGAAGGGCTACCACAGACTCCCGCAAGGACAGCTCTAAAACTCTCATCTGTCCCCTTCCTGGGAGCCCAGTGGCTCTGCTGCTGCTTGGGTAGGTTAACACCTACAGGTCAGGACTTGGTCTGGAGGGCCTTGGAGCATGGCCATTCCAGTCCAGGGAATCATCACTCCATGTTCCACAAGGATAAGATTCCCACTCGGGGGAGACAGGCAGGATCCCAACATTCCCAGTCCAGTAGCAACAGCTGATTAAAGACTGATTCGGGGGAGGACTCTGGATTCAAATCTCAGCCCAGCCCCTACCAGTGACCAGACAAACTTCCTCCCCTTCTTTCACCTCCAACATACTCTGGTTGGTGAAGGGGGAGCAGCGATCAACCTCAAAGGTCCAGTGAGGATTAATTAATGTTTTCGGAGTGCTTGGAGACCCACAAATGACAGGCTCCGCAGGAGGACAGAGTGTCATTAGAGTTATTAGTGGCAAAGTGGCTTTGCATCACAGAAAACAGAACTGAATTTGGGGCTTCTAGTGGGGCCACCCCGTCTTCTCCCTTTCACTGGCCAGCAGGGAGACCCTATGGGACAGCCTCAACTCTGCACAAGCTGGTCTGTTCACTGTCCTGCTGTCCTTGAAATATGGCCAATGGTGACAGGCTCACCACTTTACTCACATCTCCCTCCATGCTGAACCTGCCTTCCCTCCTCAGCCACTACCTTCTAATCTTGCTTGTCTCTTGAAGCCAAGCTCAAGACCTCACCCACTCCAGGAAGCCCTTTCTGACCAGCTCTGCACAAGGCAATCTCTCCTGCCTCTAAACACATACTGTCCTGCTCTTGATAGCCCAGGTCTCATTCTGCCCTGCGTCTCATTCCCTCAACTATACTGGGAGCTCTACGAGGGGTAAGCCATGGCTCCGTGGCCTGCCCCACACTCTTGTTAAGTGATGGCCTTGGGGGATGAAGGCGAGTGGGATCCAGTGAGAGCCTCCTAAGAGGGATATGCACTCCTTTTCTCTAAAGCGATGGTCAGATTCCCCCATCAGAAACCCTGTCTAGGGGTAACAGAGTTGGGCAGTGATCTCACCTGGCCAAGTTAGCTACTCCCCATCTGCCACACCCACTTAGGCTCCCCAGCCATTGCCTGGGGGAGCAGGGCTGGAATATCTGAGCTGGGAGTAGAGGGAATAGCCACGGGGCAGCTTTGGAATGAGGCAGGGATCCCCACCCGGTGCCACCTCCCCTGTCCAGGGCCAGGTAACCACCCATAGCCCACAGCAGAGGGTGCTGCCGGATTCCCATGACCCCTCCATCATGACCATTAGGGGTCTCGAGCTCTGGCAGACACAGCTTGCCCTGGGGCCTAGCGGTATTGATATTGGTCCTGGTTCTGGTGCTGGGCAAGTCATCTGCTCTCTCTGAGCCTCAGTGTCCTCTTTTGTCAACAGAGAGGGTTGGCCTCTTACATCCCATAGGCCCCGTACAGTTCCAGTGTTCTGTGGTTGTGTGATGACAGTGACACATGGCTGACTGCATTCAGAGGAGCCAACTCCTCCTCTCCAGAGATACAGCTCAGCTTATGAGGAAGAAGGGCAGACATCAAAGGCCACACTACCGCCTCATTTGCCACCTGCCTCAGAGTCCTCTGAGAGGCCTCCCCTATACCCCAGGCCCAGCCCTGACTCCAGAAGGGCCATCCGCCTTTGAGTGACATCCTGGGACTCTGCCGTGTGGCGCATTGAACCTCTGGCTTCCTCCAAGCTCTGGTGGAGTGCACACAGCTCTTCCTCCACCTTTCCCCAGCAACTGCTCCTCTGGCAAGACTGTCCTTATCAGGAAGAGGCTGGAGGTAATCTCGTGGGCTCAGTCACTCAGGACTGGTGCTCCCAGGGAAGGGAGCTGCAGCCAGGCACACTCACAGTCAGGACCCTAGGTGGCCAACTGCCAGGTCTTGTCTGCCTTCCTTCCACCCAGCCCGCTTCAATCATTCTTCCAAGGTTTGATACGATAGAGTTCACTTGGCTCCGGCCCTGTGAGCAGGTATTTCTCACTAAAGGTCAGGTGTGGGTCAGCCAGCTGCTTCTGGATGGAAAATTTGGGGTGGTGACAGACAGAACTCTATGGAGCACTGAGGAGGCCTCCTGCTATGAGAAGGAGCCCCAGGGGTCTTGCACTAGGGCCTCCTTGCCCGTCTTCTGGGAGAGAACCTGTCAGCATAACACTGCTGTCCTCCTGGGTCATCAGATGAACCATCTTCTCCCACCACACCCTGCACCTGCCTGCCTCCCTCTCATACACTCCTCTCTGTGTGAAGGTAGAGGCCTCGCTGCCATGGAGGTGGCAGTGGACACACAGACACATGGAGGGAGAGGCCAGAATGCCCTACAGTTCCCAAAGCCAGTCCCCGTGTCCATTGTGAATGCTGGTAAAGGCAGGTGTGACTGCCACTCACTTGTGGTTGGGCCAAGGCCTGCAGGCCCTTCCAGGCAGTTCCTGAAGGTGTCTCCTAAGACCTTTCTGTAGTTGGGGTCTGCTTGGCTCTGGTGAGAATGAGGGTAACATCACACCTGCCTACACTGCTAATCTGGCAGAAGGTGACAGTATTTGGGGCGGAGGTGGTGAGAGAGGGGAGGAGTCCATAGTTGTCACACACCTGAAATCACAGCTCGCAGTGTGCCAGATAACCAAGGAGTACTGGGGGCAGGTGTGCTCTGTCTGCAGGAGCGCTGTTCCCACAACAAAAGTGATTTTCTGTGCTCTTGACCCTGGGGTGTCTGGCTGGTAAACAATGCCCCCTAAAAGTCAAGTTCAACAGCAAGAGCATGGGCTTCTAATGAATGTAATGGTGCTAGCTCACTCTTCCACTTGGTCCCCAATGTCTCTAGAACTCACTTCTAGGAAGCCTTTCCTGATGAATGACACCTACTCCCATCTCCATCTCACACCCATACCAGTCTCCACCACCATGTACTTCGGATGCTCTCTGAAGTGCGAACCATGTCTCTTCTTTCCTTGGGACCTTGAGCTCAGGGCACTGCCACAGCTGGGTCCGGGCCTGACTGGCCTGAACTGGCTCTTTGTGTCAATGACCTCTTCTCCCTTGCCCAACCCTTGTGGTGAACGTGCTCTGATGCCTGGTGCTTAGAGGCTCAGAATGGGGTCAGGCTCTCCTCCCACTCAAAGAGGTTCCTGGTGAGTGGGGTAAACCAGGAAGAGAGGAGGGCTGCTGTAGCTCTCAAATACCCAAGGCCACCTCCTTGAGGAGGATTCTTAGTTCCTGGGGAATGGGGGAGGGGCTAGTTCCCAGCTCACCCCACAGAATCACTCCTACCCTCCAGATAAGCATCTGCTTTCCCCCTCTTCTCCCCAGATGGGCGCGTGCACCATGAGCAGGGATGTGGTGGTTTCTCGGTGACACTGACAGTGTGCCCAACCTGCGTGTCATCCTCAGGAAGCATCTGCCCACCCACAGAACCCCAGGGTCAAGGAGCAAGTGCCTCAGCATCTACCATTTTCTCAGGTATACAAGCAACACAACCTGCTCTGTCCACGTAGCTTGTCCGATTTTACGTCCCTGTTTTAGGGTGTAAAACCATCTCAGAAAATCTACCGCTCGGGTCACCAATGTCCTGGCACACTGCTTCCCTTTGGTGCCTTAGACAACGACGGGCTGATTCTCTCTTGTGTCACTGGTGCAACTCAAGCTCTCTCACCTACAAAACCTTTGAAAATGGAGGCGGCTCGCTCTTTAGGATGAGTGGAAATCTCTCTCCAGTAGGGACAGGCATGCCTTTGCAGGGATGACTCATCCTCTTCCACCTCCAGGCTTTCAAATAGGTCACACTTACTGCACCTGAAACATTCTTTCTCTTCTTCTCCAACCCTCCCCCTGCATTCAAAACCTTGCACAAAAATCACCTTCCCCTAAAGATGACCCCACCCAGCTCTGAGCACTCCAAACCTGCCAGGATAACCACGTCAGCGCTCAATCCAGTGGCTGACTCTGCACTGGCTTGTGGGTTCCTTGGAGTGTAGCTTCTGTACACTGTATGTGTGTGTGTGTGTGTGCACTCCTCCCAGAAGGTAGGGCCTGGGTCTCCCCAGCCAAGCTGGGAGCTTCCTGAAGCAAGGAATCTTCACCTTTGGTAGATCCACACTCCACACCCCTAATCCCAGAACATCAGCCTTCCTGACCAAGAGGCTGCCCTGCAAACAGAGGTCATCAGGAAACCCATTTTCTCCATTCTCTTTCTCCTCAAATCCTTCTTCTTTGTCACAGGGCAAGCTGCTCGGAACAGATCCTTGCTGACTCTGTCTCCCTTAAGGCTGATGCTTCTTCTAGCATATTTTACATTTGAATAAAGCCCACTTGTCCTTCAGCACGAAAAGCTTGAGAAAGGAAGCTCATTTTCTTTTAGTCTTGAAAATGCCTTTACTTCACCCTCTGAAATCTCTTTCACCTGTGGTGCCCAGAAAAGCTAGGCCCACAGCAGCAGGAATTTAAATGAGATAACAAGAACTGCCAGGAAGCTACTGCTGAGACAATATCCTCAGAGGTGTTTCGGAGTGGGCAGGAGTGGACTGTGTCTGCAGGATGGTTCTAGCTCCTGGAGGGAGGACTGGCCAGCCAGCCTCCTGCCCTCTCTGCTGGGCTGCTGGGAGCACCATGACCAGGCCTCCCCCAACTCGGCAGCTTCTAGGAGATGGGGAGGGCAAGGAGTTCAGCACAGCCTCACCGGGCACTTTTGTGTGGCTCTTGACCTTTTCCTGGGTGTACATACTGAACAGAAATGCTGAAACAAACTGGGTTGCTGTGGCC